TTGCCTTGGAAGCATCAGAAGCCATTAATTTGGTACCCGAGTGATGAGCGAAGGCTGCCTTTAATACTGATTTAACTCAGGCTGACTGTAAATAGTGCAGCCGCTGCAACAGGGTCCCCTGGCAAAGGCAAGCATCAGCCTGGAAACATTCCTTGCATTTAGTTTCTGATCTTTCATTTCACAAGGTTCCCCCTTTGGAGCCCGGGGCTGAGTCCCCTTCCTCCATGCTGAGGGTGAGGAGCCAGAGCTCAGCATGCGGTGCAGTGAAGCCAGAGCTCATCATGGACCCCCAGCTTGGGGCGAGGGTGGGGATGCTGGATGTGACCCCATGGGGATGTGCAGGAGATGCCCTCACTGCTGGCTGGGCAGCTCATTGAATTCTTACAGGACCTGCGTGAGTCTCTGCCCTGGTGCTCCCCAGTCACTCCCCTCCCAGGGGAGCATCAGGCCCCAGCACATCATTATCTCTAATTAGAGGAGCCGGGTGCTGGTGATGGGAGGCAGGAGCAGAGTGAGGTGGGGGCTCTGCTCTCATTCCAGGGACACTGATGGAGCTGGTGGGATGGTGGGAGAGCAGCACCCAGGGCCCAGAGGGCACTGGTGGCTGTGCCATTAGCTCAGGTAGGGTCGTGGCACTGCTCTGAGCTGGGATGAAGGATGTGGTGCACCTCTGTGCTTGGGCAGTTCATCCCTGCTCATGGGGTTTCTCTTTGGAGATGCTGCTGCCCATGTCCCCTGCCTCAGTTTCCCTCAGTGGGCAGCAGGGTCTGGCCAGTGGTGCTTGCTCATACTGGGGTACATACAGGGAGCATGTCCCTGTGTGGGTGATGTCTCAGCAGCCACTTGCTGCTACTGGAGCATCCTTGCTCCATCGCCCTCCTTGTCTGTGCTGCCTCCAGCTCCCATTTCCCAGGCTGGTACAAACATCCATCCCTGAAGAGCGAGGGGCAGGATGAGCAGACAGGGAGGTGTGGGCAGCGCTGGGTGCTGCTGATCTGGCACCATTAATGCAGGAGAGGGAAGGGGGCTGGGGTTTGCTGGGCTGGGCTGTTGCGGAGCCCCTGCAGTGTCCCCATCTCCCCCATCCTGATCCCTTGCTCTCTGTGTGCCTCGGCACTTCCCTCGCCAGAAATTCTCTCCTAATTAAATGACCATTAGGAGCCAAGTCATGGTTTTGCCTTAATTGGACTCTCCCATCTCTGCTGCGAGCTCAAACCCCAGCCTGGCACATCCCCTCCATGTCTGACACTGGACACGCTGGTATCAACACAATGGGAGCACTGGGGTGCACAGGCATCGTGCCAGGGGGTCTGGCAGAGATGGGATCTCCCCCACCAGCCCTTGTGCTGCTACCCAGGGGCAGGATAGCTGCTGGCATCAAGACCTTGCTGGGGCATTGCCAAATAGCTCCGCTGTACCCCAAAACGCCTATTTGTCCCTGGGATGCCCCCATTGAGGCAGGAGGGGGGCTCCCCTTGGGTCTCCCCTTTGGGACCAGTTTGGGATTTCCACCCAAGCGGGGCAGGTTTTGGGGTCAGCTCCCAAAGCTGATGCTGATGGGTGGCTGGGGTGTCCCCATGGCTCCATCCCAGTGGGATGACTTAGAGCCCATTGTCTTGATGGACATCACAACCCTGGTCTTGCCATCCCATAGAGGAGCAATAACTCATTGCTCCCGGCCCAGCATGGCAGCAGCTCATTAGCTAACAAGCTTCAGATCGGGGTCTCCCCAGGGCAAGTCAGCACCCAGCACCCAGCACCATGGGCTGGGAGAGCCGGGTCGGGCCCCCCTCACCCTCCTCCCCGCATCCCGGGTGCTCATTGCACCTCAGCCTCATTAATCTCTGCTTATTGATGCTTTGTGCCTGCATCTCCCCACAGGAGAGAGGCTTTGGCTGCCAAAGCTGTCCCTGGGGGGGGGGATCAGGGGGCTTCCAGCAGCAGGACCCCCCCAGATCCCCACCTTGCTTGCTGTGATGGCCACGGACACCCCGAATTCCCCTCCTGGCGCTGGTCCTTTACGGAACGTCTCGGCTGATGAGGAGCTCCATCCAGCTCCCATCGCGGGGTGCCGCGGTGCAGGAGCCTCTCCCGGGGCCGTGGGGACCCTCCATTCATGCTCTGCCAAAGGGAATCCCCAAATCCCCCTTTTTGTACCGTGTGGGATGCGCTGCTGCGGCTCGGGAAGGGGCTGCGTGGGATGGAGCCGTTTGCGGGGGGAGGAGGAGGGACGAAGGGCTCAAGAACGGGGATTTCTACTCTCAGAAGTGCATTTCCCAGTACGGGAATGGGTGGATCGTCGGCTCCAGCCTGGGATTCCCACCCCGCCCAGACCTTGGGGCCCTCCTGGAAAACGAAACCCTTTTAATTATGTGTAAATGGGAGAGGGCGGCGCATCCCAGGGGGTGGGACCTGGCGGCTCACTCTACACCAGATGTTTGCAGCTGGGGGGGGCGCTACCGGCTGTGGGGCAACACATGATGGGTGTCCGGGAGTGGTGCAGTGTGCTGGGGGACCTGGGGTGGTGTGCTGGGGAGACTGGGAAGCGCTGGGAAAATGTCCCATGGGATGTGGGGGGGCTGCAGTGGGGGGTGTGGGGCACTGCACTGCACTGCAGGGGGTGAGATGAGGCCCACGGGGGATCTATTAGGGGCTTTGGGGAGAAGGAATGCACCGTGGGGGTGATGGATTGAGGGGTTCACGGGGTGCCTGGGGGACTGGCAGGGGTGTGTGTGTGTCTGCCAATGGGTGGCATGCACAGACTGCAGTGGTTGCACTGACTGCAGCGACTGCAGTGACTGCAGTGATTGCACTGACTTCAATGACTGCAGAGATTGCACTGACTGCATTGCTTGCACCGACTGCACTGACTGCATTGATTGCACTGACTGCAGTGATTGCACTGACAGCAGTGATTGCACTGGCTTGCAGTGACTGCAGTGATTACACTGACTGCAGTGAGTGCACTGACTGGTGACTGCATTGATTGCACTGACTGCATTGCTTGCACTGACTGTAGTGACTGCATTGATTGCACTGACTGCATTGCTTGCACCATCTGTAGTGACTGCAGTGATTGTACTGACTGCACCAACTGCAGTGATTGCACTGACTGCAGTGACTGCACTGACTGCAGAGATTGCACTGACTGCATTGCTTGCACCGACTGCACTGACTGCAGTGATTGCACTGGCTTGCAGTGACTGCAGTGATTACACTGACTGCAGTGAGTGCACTGACTAGTGACTGCATTGATTGCACTGACTGCATTGCTTGCACCGCCTGTAGTGACTGCAGTGATTGTACTGACTGCACCAACTGCAGTGATTGCACTGACTGCAGTGACTGCACTGACTGCAGAGATTGCACCGACTGCACTGACTGCATTACTGACTGCAGTGATTGCACTGACTACAGTGATTGCACTGGCTTGCAGTAACTGCAGTGATTACACTGACTGCAGTGAGTGCACTGACTGGTGACTGCATTGCTTGCACTGACTGCATTGCTTGCACTGACTGCAGTGACTGCACTGACTGCACTGACTGCAGTGATTGCACTGACTGCATTGCTTGCACTGCAGAGGGGTGCATACCCTGTGCACAAGCCCTTGCACACACAGAGGGGTGCATACCCTGTGCACAAGCACTTGCACACACAGAGGGGTGCATACCCTGTGCACAAGCACCTGCACACACAGAGGGGTGCATACCCTGTGCACAGGCACTTGCACACACAGAGGGGTGCATACCCTGTGCACAAGCCCTTGCACACACAGAGGGGTGCATACCCTGTGCACAAGCACTTGCACACACAGAGGGGTGCATACCCTGTGCACAAGCACTTGCACACACAGAGGGGTGCATACCCTGTGCACAAGCACTTGCACACATATATGCTTGCACACTGCAGAAGCACACCCTCATGCATTCTTGCAACATCCCATGCCCAAGGCCTTGCACACATGCACAGACATGCTTGATCATGCATTGGCACATGTGCACAGATGTGCATCCATCCACACTGCGTGCGCAGGCACATGTGCAGATGTGAATGCACACCCCATGTAACAGCCCTTGCACTCTGTACCTGCACAGGTACAGACACATGCACACTGCACCAGCACTTGCATGTCTCCCTGTTACACAAGCACTCACACACATGTGCACACGTATGAAGCATGTGCCATGCTGAGCACAGCTGACCTATCCCTAAGGAATGCAGCTCTGCTGCAGTGTGTTCATCAGGATGTGAGCAGCATCCCAACCGCAGCATCCCAACCACAGCATCCCAATCACAGCATCCCAATCACAGCATCCCAACTGCAGCATCCCAATCACAGCATCCCAACTGCAGCATCCCAATCACAGCATCCCAACCGCAGCATCCCAACCGCAGCATCCCAACCGCAGCATCCCAACTGCAGCATCCCAATCACAGCATCCCAACTGCAGCATCCCAATCACAGCATCCCAACCGCAGCATCCCAACCGCAGCATCCCAATCACAGCATCCCAACTGCAGCATCCCAATCACAGCATCCCAACTGCAGTATCCCAATCACAGCATCCCAACCGCAGCATCCCAATCACAGCATCCCAACCGCAGCATCCCAATCACAGCATCCCAACCACAGCATCCCAATCACAGCATCCCAGTCACAGCATCCCAACTGCAGCATCCCAATCACAACATCCCAACTGCAGCATCCCAATCACAGCATCACAACTGCAGTATCCCAATCACATCATTCCAATTGCAGCATCTCAATCACAGCATCCCAACTGCAGTATCCCAGTCACAGCATCCCGAACACAGCATCCCAATCACAGTATCCAGTCTCAGCCTGCGCCTTGGCGTGCTGCAGAGCCTGTGGCATGGGAAGCCCCACCACTGGGGTGCCCAGGGCTGTGGTGCTGGAGGATGGTGGTCCCCACCCTGTACCCCACATTTGGGTGCAGAGGTTGCTGCTGGGGGCACAGCCTGGGCACGTTCTGGACCTGTGTGACCACGGAGGGGCCGCTGTGTTCCAGGGAGCCCCTGACCCACCATGACGTTCAAGCAAGCATCCATGATGGCCCCGGAGGCCACGGCCACCACGATGCCCATGACCACGATGGAGAACTCCACAGAGGCAGGGGGGCCGGGGGAGAGCAAGGAGGACATGTTCACCAAGCTGAGGGACAAGTTCATGAACGAGCTCAACAAGATCCCCTGTGAGTTTCTGCTTCCTTTTCCTGCTATTCCTTCCCCATGACCACACCACTGCTCTGGTCCCAGGGACAAGGCGGTGGGGCAGGGAGGGAGCTGTGGGGCTGACCATGGCACCGGCTCTTGCCCCCAGTGCCACCCTGGGCCCTCATCGCCATCGCGGTGGTAGCCGGCCTCCTCATCCTCACCTGCTGCTTCTGCATCTGCAAGAAGTGCTGCTGCAAGAAGAAGAAGAACAAGAAGGAGAAGGGCAAAGGCATGAAGAATGCCATGAACATGAAGGACATGAAGTCAGGCAACCAGGTGACATCCTCCTGCACTCCTTGGCCTTCTTGTTGTAGGACGGTCCCTCTGGTTGCGTTACAAACCATGCTGGGGCACTCAGCTCAGGCAGCAGAGAGGGATGGAGCCACCAGGATGCTGGGATGGGGCAGTGGGCCTGGACCTGAGCCTGCAGCACTGTCCTCTTCCAGTGTCTGGTGGCCCCGATGGGACCAGGATCACGCTGGCTTGGACCTGCCAATGCTTCACCTGACCCAGCAAATGTCAATCTAACCCCTTGTGTCTCCCCACCTTCCTCTGAGCTGTCACTCCATGGAGCTTTAGCTCAAAGAGGAGGCCAAAACACCCAACAGTTTGGGGTCACTGAAAACCCAGTGCTCATGAGGTGCTGGTGCACGGAGCTGGGACCATCTCCCATCCTAGGGGCCAGCAGGAAGGAGGCTTTGGAACCAGCAGGCTTGGGGTGATCCTGCCCATCCCAGTGGCCATGACCCAGGGCTGTTTGGAGGGAATGGGAGGATTCTGCTCGTCAGATCCATGTGGGCACCACAGGCATGCAGGGGGGGCTGAGTGGGGATGCTCCATGGTCCCTGCTCCAGGGAGGTGGGAGATGGGGGGGGCATTCCCTGCTGGGGGGCCAGGGATGCCTCTTGGGGTGGATGGGGCCGTACAAACCCCGATTGACCCCTTGGCCTGGGTCCCTTATCCCATTGGTGCTGCTCTCTGTAACGTGGCTCTCTCCCCTCTTGGTGCTCTCCCTCCCTGCTGCTGTGGTCCCCTTCCATCCTGGGACACCCTCACGGTAGGTGCCACCATGAGCTTCCTTCTCCATCATCTTCCGGGGTGGGATGGGGCACCTGGGGACACATCAGAGAGGTGCTAAGGAGCCCAGGTTCCCACCCCATGGACCATAACTTGGAGAGGGGTGGCTTTGCCTTAGGAGAATTAGGTTATCTCTTCATTGCAGGGCTCCTAAAGCCCTTAGCACCGGCTGTGGTGCTGCAACAACCAGGGGTCGAGTGTCCCTGCACCCTGTGCTGGGGCTCCCCAAGGCAGAGCTGGTGCCACCCCAGGGCTGCTCCATCCATGTTCATGTCCCCAGCACGGGGGTTGAGGTGGGGTTGGGGTCCTGGGGTGGTGCTGGGATGGGGATGCTGGGCTGTGACCCTGCTGCTGAGCCTCGGCTGCTGCTGCAGGAGCAACAGGATGATGATGATGCTGAGACGGGACTGACGGAGGGGGAAGGTGAGGAGGAGGAGAAGGAGCCGGAGAACCTGGGCAAGCTCCAGTTCTCACTGGACTACGACTTCCAGGCGAACCAGGTGATGGGGCTCGAGTGGGGCTTGCCCAGGGAGGTCCTGTTGGGCCTGGGTGGCAAAGGAGGGAGCGGGGAGCTGGGTGCTGAGCCCTGGGGAGCCTTGTCCCACGTTGGGCTGGGGATGAGCCCTTGGCATCTGCAGCTGCCTGGATGGAGACATCCCTGTTCCACCTCCAGCTCACGGTGGGCATCCTCCAAGCTGCTGAGCTGCCTGCTCTGGACATGGGAGGCACCTCGGACCCCTACGTGAAGGTGTTCCTGCTCCCTGACAAGAAGAAGAAGTACGAGACCAAAGTGCAGAAGAAGACGCTGAACCCTGCCTTCAATGAGACCTTCACCTTCAAGGTGGGCGCCTTCCTACCCACAGCACGGGACCTTGTCTCCCACTCTCATCTTTCCCCCTGGCTATGTACTGGCCCCATGTGTTGACCCCCCTTGTGCTCCTCTGAGCCCATCACCAGCCACTCAATGGCCCTCTTTGTGCAGGTCCCCTACCAGGAACTGGGTGGGAAGACGCTGGTCATGGCCATCTACGACTTCGACCGCTTCTCCAAGCACGACATCATCGGCGAGGTGAAGGTGCCCATGAACACGGTGGACCTGGGGCAGCCCATCGAGGAGTGGCGGGACCTGCAGAGCGGTGAGAAGGAGGAGGTAAGAGCCAGCTGAAACCCTCAGCCAGGGTGGCTTGAGATGTGGGGTGGCCGTGGGGCGAGCTCTGCTTTCTGGTCCATCCCGCAGTGCTGAGGATGCGCATCCTGGCCATGAATGCTGGGCAGGGTCTGCCCCTTTGTTCCTCTGGGCAAAAGCCTTTCTATAACAAAACGGGAGTGTATGAACTCCTTGAGTGCTGCCTGGCCCAGCCCCAGGTGATCAAACCCTTGTGCTGGTGGAAGCCAGCTCAGGTTTGCTCTGAAGGGGGGGGACCTGCATGTGGGACCACGTCCCATCACTGGCAAGGCTTTGATACCTGTTCCCTGCTCCTCTCGGCAGCCAGAGAAGCTGGGGGACATCTGCATCTCCCTCCGGTACGTGCCCACGGCTGGGAAGCTCACTGTCTGCATCCTGGAGGCCAAGAACCTGAAGAAGATGGATGTCGGGGGTCTCTCAGGTGGGTTCTCCTCCACCCTGCCCTGGGGCTCTCAGCATCCTTTGCTGGGGAAGGACAATGGGACCATCGGTGGGCCAGGGCTTGGGGAAGCCACCACCAGTGCCTGGGACCTCCTGTACTGGAGGCAGCCCCAGGTCTCCTGTGGGGCAAGGTGAGATGGATGGGATGGGATGGGATGGGATGGGATGGGATGGGATGGGATGGGATGGACCCCCCAATCCTTAGGAAGAACTGAATTTGGTTCCTGACTGTGTCCATGGTCCAGGATGCTGCAGTACCTGGGTAGTGAAAATGATTCTCTGCTCCTGGTCCTGATGCTCCATGACATGGGGCAAGGGGCACAGTCGACAGCATGCTTTATTAACCAGGGGAAGAGCAGCACCAACATGGATGGAAGGGTTCAGCTTTATTGCTGGGGTGCCCTGCTCCAGAAATGGGTATGACAGCACTCACCAGTGCCGCTGTACTGCCTGCATCCGTCCTACCAGAGGAACCACAGGATGCAGGAGAGCTCCATCCATCAGAGCACCTTTATTCTTCAAATACCCTTTACCCTGTGGTGCACCTCATCCTAGAACCATAGAGCCATGGAATGGTTTGGGTTGAAGGGAGCTTAAAGCTCATCCAGCTCCAACCCCTGCCACGGGCAGGGACCCCTTCCACTGGAGCAGCTTGCTCCAAGCCCCTGTGTCCAACCTGGCCTTGAGCACTGCCAGGGATGGGGCAGCCACAGCTTCTCTGGGCACCCTGTGCCAGCGCCTCAGCACCCTCACAGGGAAGAGCTTCTGCCTTAGATCCAACCTGAACTTCCCCTGTTCCAGTCTGAACCCATCACCCCTTGACCTATCACTACAGTCCCTGATGAAGACCCCCTCTCTGGCATCCTTGGAGCCCCCCTTCACATTATCCTGGGGCCAGGCTGATGGTGTCCCCCGAGCATCTCAGCCCTGGCTGATGCACCCTCCTGCCCCCCCAGATCCCTACGTGAAGATCCACCTGCTGCAGAATGGCAAGAGGTTGAAGAAGAAGAAGACCACAGTCAAGAAGAAGACCCTGAACCCCTACTTCAATGAGTCCTTCAGCTTCGAGATCCCCTTTGAGCAGATACAGGTTGGTTTGATGACTTCCCTGGAGGGAGGCGAGGGTGAGGGCGATGGGAAAAGTCCCACAGCTGCCCAAGCCCATGTCCCAGCCCCTGTCCCAGCCCAAGCAGCTCCTGCCAAGCTCCTGGTCCAGTCACCCATGAAATCACATCCAGTCCCAACCTGGGCCTGGGTTGATGCTGAGGGTATCTGCTTCAGGGGCAGAGGTGGGTGCTGCCCAGGAGATGCAGTCCCAACCCAGGTAATGGCTGGAGAGGGGCTTTCCTCTGCTCCTGCAGTTGGGATGCTGTGATTGGGATGCTGCAGTTGGGATGCTGTGATTGGGACTCTGCTCTTGCAGTTGGGATGCTGTGATTGGGATCCTGCAGTTGGGATGCTCTGATGGGATGCTGTGATTGGGATGCTGTGATTGGGATGCTGTGATTGGGATTATTCTTGCAGTTGGGATGCTGTGATTGGGATGCTGTGATTGGGATGCTGTGATTGGGATGCTGCAGTTGGGATGCTGTGATTGGGATGCTGTGATTGGGATGCTGCGGTTGGGATGCTGTGATTGGGATTCTTCTTGCAGTTGGGATGCTGTGATTGGGATGCTGCAGTTGGGATGCTGTGATTGGGATGCTGCAGATGGGATGCTCTGATTGGGATGCTGTGATTGGGATGCTGCAGTTGGGATGCTGTGATTGGGACTGTTCTTGCAGTTGAGACGCTGTGATTGGTATACTGCAGTTGGGATGCTGCAGTTGGGATGGTCTGATGGGACGCTGTGATTGAGATGCTGCAGTTGGGATGCTCCGATTGGGATGCTGTGACTGGGATGCTGCAGTTGGGATGCTGTGATTGGTACGCTGCAGTTGGGATGCTGCAGTTGGGATGCTGTGATTGGTATGCTGCAGTTGGGATGTTGCAGTTGGGATGGTCTGATTGGGATGCTGCAGTTGGGATGCTGCAGTTGGGATGCAGTGAGTGGGACCCTGCTCCCTGCGCTTTCCTGCCCCTTGAAAGAAGGTTTCCTCTCTCAGAAAGTGCAAGTGGTCATCACGGTGCTGGACTACGACAAGCTGGGGAAGAACGAAGCCATCGGCAAGATCTTCACGGGCTGCAATTCCACGGGCACGGAGCTGCGGCACTGGTCCGACATGCTGGCCAACCCCCGGCGGCCCATTGCCCAGTGGCACTCGCTGAAGCCAGAGGAAGAAGTAGACGCAGCTCTTGGGAAGAACAAATAAGCAGGAGCTGCCGTCGGCGCGGCACCGCGGACACTCGGCGCGACCCAGAGCTACCGATACCTCAGTTCGGCATCCTTCGGTTTTGGTTCTTTTTGTTCTCTTTTAAGCTGAAATACCCTTCGATGGCTGTGGAAGGGCTTCCAGACAGTGCCAAGAGCTTCCAGGGGAAGAGGTTAAAGACATGGATGGTTCTTTTCGTTCTTCAGCATCGCTCCCTTCTGTCCCATCACCTCCGACCACCTCCCAGGCCCAAAGCCACCGTCATGCCTTGGACCTTCCCCGGTGGCTGTGGCACCAGCCTGTGGCACTGCTGCTGCCGTCCTCCCCTTGGCTCCGCATGGGAAGCACCGCTCGTGCATGGAGGTGGTGATGGAGGTGGTCATGCGGGATGAGCTGTGCTTGCCTGGGGCATGAGCTATGGTGTGGACAGAGAAGGTGATGGAGAAGAGCCACTGCAGCAGACCCTGGTACCTCCATCTCTGCCTCCCTCCATCCCCTTGGTTCCAGTGCCCCGGCCAGCTCCAGGCTTGGTTCTTCTGAGGAAAGGTTTGTAGGGACCACAGGGCCCTGATGTTGAGGGGGTGCTGAGCTCTTGTGGGGCCACACTGAGCCCAAGGAGCCCCTGGGGTCTGCTCGGAGGAGAGCCGTGGAGGGATGTGCACACAACGGACACCACCACCTCTGCCACCATGGCCAGGCAAGGGCAGCGCTGGGGGGTTTGCATGCGTCCCCCCATGGCTGGGTGAAGCCTGTAGATGAAGATGCTCCCACAAGGCAGGATGGTGCTGAGGGGTCTCGTGATGTGAGGGCTCAGAGCCTCCTCCCCAAAGGGCTCAGCCCTGCCTCAGGGCAGCCTGGGGGCTATGGGGAGCTCCATCACTGTGATGCAGGTGGGGAGGATGAGAGTGAGCCCATGGCCAACCAGGGACCAGAACCCGTGATCCCTGTGAGCTGCTGACCCCCACTGAGCCGCTGGCTGCTGAACCCACCCCATCCCGCTCCCCTCGGGGGCACAAGCCATATCTGTGTCCATCACAGCGGGCAGGAGCTTCTCCAGGCCACCTCTCCATGGTGGGACGAGGCAGGACCAAGCCCTGGAGCTGGAAACCCAAGGTTGTTCCCTGCAGCCCGGCCCAGTTCAGCACTGGGGCACTGAGAGGAACTGGTGTTCCCAACTCCTCTGAGCCTTGTGATTCCTTGTGATTCCCTAGGCTCGGGTTTTGGGGCAAGGCAGGGGCTGTCCTGGGCTCCAGCCCTGGGCTGGGACCTCGGTGCTGGGCATCCTGCATTGCTGTGCCAACCCACATCACCCCGGTGCTGGAGGATGCTCCGGCAGCTCCCTGCATCCTGCTTCCCAAGGGCACCTCAGGCCCAGCGGGAGGTGGGGACACAGTGGGGAACCTGGTGGCAGGAACAGCTCGGGGGGCTCGGGTCGGACACAGGGACAGGCCCCTTCCCCCGGAGGGACCGGTCCTCAGGGAGGGACGGCTCCATCGGGGTGGTTTGGGGCTCGGTGGGACCCCAAAGTCACTCCCACCGGCACCGCGGCTGCGCTTGGCCAGGGCCTGGCTGCTGAGGGTGGCACTGGGGCCGTGCAGGAGCAGGGGGGTTCCTGCAGGGTCACCTCCAGCTCCAATGCATCCCCTTTGCTATCGGATGTGTCAGTGCCAGCGAGCTCCTGCCCATGCGTGGCAAAGGGAGATGATGCCTCCAGGTGCTCTTAACCCATGGGAAGCTCAGGGCGGCTGCGGTCCCTTGGTTGGGACATGGGCAGGATTCAGGCTCTCGAGTCAGGATCATTCCAGAATCCATCCGAGCACCGAGGGGGGGATTTGCCTCATGTGGAAATGGGTTAAAAAAGAAGGAATTGGGCACTCGGTGAGCGTGGGCAGCCCCATAGCTCCCACGGGCAGCACGTGTGCACACAGCGCATGTCCCTTGTGCAACCCCTCCATGTGCACCCTCCATACGCACCCCTCCACATACACCCCCCCAGACCCACTGCATCACCCGGGATCTCACCAGGAGCAGAGCTCCCACTTTCCATTCGGACTCTATAATCCCTGGGACTGTGACTTTACTGCATCACTCGATCTGTTTCTTAACAAACCAAGGGGAAACCAACGGAACCACTGAAGCCATCTGCGCTGCCTCTGACCCCCGTAGCTGCGTGTAGTTGTGTGACCGTACGGAGCCATCGCTGTATATACCACGACCAGTGCATGAGCTGCAGCCCCGTAGCAGTAGCCGCATGGGCGACGCCGCGCGCGGTGCCGCGCGCTCTGACCGACCGGACCTCATTGCTCCACCGCCCTCGAGGAAACAAACCCCATCTCCAATGCCAAGAAGCAACGCATGCCAAGCAGCGGAGAGCGAGCCGCCAGCGATGCAGCCCTCACCTCCACGTGTGTCTTGTTCCTGTGTCTCGTCACATCCAGCCCATGGCTGGGTAGCGGCAACATCGTGGCTTCCGTGTCCTGTGTCGCGTTGGTGCATTCCACCCTCAGAGCAACTTTAGAAGCCATAGGAGACCGCGGCGTGCCGGGACCCCATGGGGACGGGCCCACGGGTGAGCCATGACCCCAAACACCCCGTGTCCACTGTCCCCCCCCTTGTTACGTGGGGCTCAGCAGCGGAGCCGGATGAGCTGCACCAAGCCACCGCTGCGGTGGCCATGGATGCTGTGGGCAAGGGGCCGAGGCAGCGCTGGGCACAGAGCTGGGGTGGGCAGGATGCAGCAAAGAGCTGGCGGTGAAAAGGCTTTTTGGGGCAATTGGAGTGATTCTGCTGTGTCCGGATGGTTGGGTTTGGGATGGGGATGAGAGCCGGATGATTCCCATCTCCTGGCTGCACCGGTGCAGACCCGGCCATGCCACCAAGGTGTTGGTCTCTGAGGCTAAAAGGAAGCGACCCCCATGAGGCTTGCCAACAGCCTGGGCTTGCTTTTCCTCTTCTCCCCCCAAAGCTGAGAGGGAGGAGCCGGCCCCTTTGGGGGTCCCAGTGCTGGCCCCGCTCTGCCTCGTCCCGGCCCCACAGCGCTCGGCTCGGGCGCGAAGCTGCTTTGAAAGCCCCTTCCTCTCGTGTGGACTCCGTCGTTCCCGTCTCTCGTCGTTCCATGGTTATTTTGTAATGATCCCTGTCCCCTTATTAAAGAAACGAGCTGAAAGGAGCCGCCGGTCCCTCCTGGTCTTGCTGCTGGGGTCCGGTGGTGGGCAATGGAGGGATGGAGGCATGAGGGGAACCCCCCCCCCCAACACGATGTTGGTCCCCATAGCCCAAACACGGTGCAGACATCAACAGTCCCAGCGCACACATTTGGGTCCATACAAACCTGTCTTGGTCCTGCCCTGCTTTGCAGGGGTGCTGGACACCCCTAAGCCCAAGGGGACGCACTCAGGCTGCCCCTTGAAGCACCCTGGAGCACCCTCATAGACTGCAACGTGCCCACGTTTCCAGCAACCTCACTTGGGACAAAGGCTCCAAGACGCGGCACCGGTGCCTGTGTCTGTGCTACAGGTTTGTCCTCACCAAGCACATAGAGGGCCTGGCACCACTTGGGCTCTTCCAGCCCGTTGAGGCTGCACAAATCTGGGCTGAGCAACTTGAAGCTCTAGAATGATGGAAGCAAAGTCCAAGCTCCTATGTTATCAACTCTTATTTTATTCATTTATAAATACTGTTGTGTTTACAAGCATCATATAGATGTGAATATTACTCCCAAACTCTCAAAACACAGAATACTTCGAATACTATATAACAACAACCAGTAAAACAAACCATTCATCTCAGGGTTTGAAAGGCCACTCAAAAATTGCATAAAAATACATTCTCTCCCCATCTCGTGAGCCAGTCCCACTTCTCCAAGGAGTTTATTTACAAAGAGCCATCGTCAAAGTCGCAGCCACAACGGGGCGGCTTCACCCCCAAGCGGGACAATTGAAGCACCCCAAGAGACTGCTTAGAGAAAAAGCTTCTTCTCCAATGGAGAGCACGTCTGGGAAACGCTCTGGTTCTATAGGGATCTGTTTTAAAAGCTGCTTGCCTTGCACTGCACTGGGGTCCGAGTGCAAAGCATCCTCCTCCTCCTCATCACCTCCTCAGTGCACTGCTTCTGGCTTAAGAGAGACCCAAAGAACTCATTCGCAAGGATTGGGTTTGCAATCGCATCGTCCTCAGGAAATGCTCCCGGCTCCAGCTGACCCGGTGGGGCTCCTCTGCCCCACTCAGGAGGTCAGGGGATAATCCAGTGCTAAGCAGACTTCATCTAAAGTGGTTTGGCTTTGCAAGGTGCCACGCAGAGGATTGGAGCCTTCCCTACCCTTTGCACACTGGTCCTTAGGATGAAACACAACGGGCATCCGGGTGGGAAAGGGCGAACCATCAGTGCAGGATGGGTCTGTCAGGTTGGGTTGAAGCAGACACGAGGCTCCTTCACACTGTCAGGCCCTTCAGTGTGAAACCCCATCCTGGTGGGATGCAGGAGCCGGGGCACACGGTCAGCACACCGGCAGCTCCTGCTCCACGTGGCAGAGAGGGACCAGGCTCCTCTTTAGAGCGGAGGGAGCCCAGGTCTGAAGGGAGGAGTGGGTCACCAAGAGAAGAAACACCAAGAAACGCAGAAGTACTCACACAGAGAGTGCCCCGAGGGGGGACGGCGTGCAGAGAAAGCATTGCCCGGACCTCGAGCCTTAAAGCTGTTAAATATAGCAGGGTTAAAAGAAAGTCATATAAAAAGGAAGCCTGGCTTAGGCAGTGCTCTGCAGAAACCCTGATGCCATCACCAGCTTTGGTCTCCTCCTCCCCAAAGCACAGCAGCAGAGGAAGGGCCTCAGTGTACCAGGAGGAACAGCACCTCGTGCTCAAAGAGCTCCGCTGGCTGAAGAGTGGCCAAAGAGGATGCTCTGGCCAGAGCTGCCCTGGCAACACCGGCAGCTCCAACAGGAGCAAGAGAGGTGGAAACAGGCAGGATGGGGAGGGGGAAAAGGAGAGAATTAGGGGGGAAAAACAAACATGAAGAAAAACCCCCAAGGGAGAGGAAAAGAACACGCTTCCTGAAGCAGTAACCAGCCAAAGGTTCCAAAGAGCCCATTCAAAGTCCTCTTTATCTGACAGAGATAAATGCTACCCTGCAGAGCAAGCTCAATGATGCACGTGTTCAAGTATCTCATCTATCTCTCTCATAGTGGAAAAGCCCCAATGGGAGCAGCGAGCCAACAGCAGAGGTGCATAGGATGTGGGTAGAACTTCATGGTAACCTCCAAGTTCAATGACTGAGACTGCAACTCCCAGCCAGCCAGAGCAGGGATGCCAAAGGATAAAGGAAATGGAAGGACAAATACAGAAGGATGTAGATGGGAAAGTGGTTTGGATACAGGGAGAAGTCTCTGAGAGGGAAGGTATCGTTTGAGAGGAGTCTGTGAAGGGGAAGCTCAACAGATCTGATGGCAGGTTACTGCTGCTGCCATCAAAATCACACAGCACGTAGAGGAGCCACTGTCTAAATGCCCATAGAGAGAACAATTCCAAATTGTTCTGAGTACGTGTAACATGAAAGAGGGTGGGTTTCTTTGAGGTTTCCTTCAAGGTCAAGGCTTATTGAAAGCTTTTGACAGGTTCAAAGACTTCTATCCTAGCAGTAGTTACCAGCATGCCCAAGGATAGCTCCTTGTCCCTCTGACACCAATGCACCCACAGCTCCACCTCCTCTGCCTTGAAAGCATCTACATCAAGCTTCTTCACCAAGGCATAATGGGACTCTGGAGTTCCCTCTCTTTACAAACCAGTGCTGCCTTTCACTGGGTCAGCCTCCTGCTGCAAATCAAAGCCAGGTACCTGAAACCCCAGACCAGACCCTTCTACAGGGCTCTGCCTTCATGAAAACAGCAGGACAATGTCCCAGACAGCTGTGAGGATGGGGAGCCTGGTGTCTGGTGTGGGCACAGCTCCCTGCAAAGTGATTCACACTCATCTATGCATGTGAAAGCAGCAGAGGATCTCTGGGGACTCAAGTCTGTCCTTCACAGAGCTCAGGAGGTATCTGCAATACATCCTATCCTGAGGAGCAAGAGACTGGATGCAATCAGCAGATGCTACCGAGACAGGAGGCCTGGAAGGATAAAGGTGACACCAAAGGCAGGGTGAAGGACGGGGGCTCTGACGCCGAGAACAGGCTCCAAACCTTGTATTAAATAAAAGACTCGGTCTCCTGGGGTGAAAGGAGAAGGAAGTCTCTGTGCAAAGCAGCTGTGGTCGGCCTGTGTCAGAAATCAGCTCTGGTGGCTTTCACAGCATCACATTCCAACCAGAGGCTCACATCTCAGGTGGGGTGATGTGCATCCTCAAGAGTCCCAGCCCACGGTCACATTTCCCACCTGTAAAGGGCTTGCATGTGCTGGACCAGCTCTTCAGGCATCACTTTTGTAAAGCAGGAGCTGCCTATTTCCAGCCTGGAGTCCAACACCAAACACTGGGCTTTGGAAGAAGAAGTTTCAGCAGCTCAAACCCAATCCTCACGTTTCTCTTCTCCCTTGAATAAAATGTCCGAGACACCACAACATGCTTAAATTAAAAACAATCCAATGGCAGAGGGGTGCTGTGATGGGAATCGGGGCAGGAAAGGGATGTACAGCACAGGGCAGGGCAGGGCATGGCAGGGGTGACTGGTTGATCCCAGGCTGAAACGCTGTACGTGAGAGGAGGAAAAAGGGGGGTAGGGCTCGGTGGTGGGGTTGGCAGCTCGTGAGGGCTCCCCTCTTCGTCCTGCCTGTGCTCAGGATTCCTATTTGGAGAGCTTGCTGATGACACGAATGAGGGCTCCGTTCTCGTCCTTCAGCCTTTGGTTGTCTGACTTCAGCTCTGTCAAAATCTGCAGAGAGACAAAGCGGGATTAGAGCACAGCAGAGCCGGAGGGACCCCGGGGCTGAGCCGTGGGGATGCCACATCCCCTCCACCCAGAATCCTGCTAGGCTTGGGCATTTCTCCATAGGGTCTCCAGGATTTCCACAAGCAAAGGGTTTTGAGTGGAGCACAGCAGAGAGCCAGGGAGCCCTGGAGCATGGTGGGACACGATGCCCCAGCACTTAGGGCAGACCAGTCTGCGAGGACAGGAACCACATCTGAGTTGTTTCATCCCAAACCTCTTCCCAGATGCTGCTTACAGCTTAGCAGAAACTAGGAAGCTGGCTCTCCTCATCTGGCTTGTCCAATTGGGCAGGACTAGAGGGGAAAACGAAGGCCTGAAATTCTCACACAGGACTGGACCTTGCAAAATGTCTTTAGAATCATAGTTTGGGTTGGGACCTTCAAAGCCCATCCCAGCAATGAGCAAGGACATCTTCAATCTGATCAGGCTGCTTAGAACCACATCCAGCCTGGCCTTGAATGTCCCTAGGGATGGGGCATCCGCCACCTCTCTGGGCAACCTGTGCCAGTGTTTTACCACCTGCATTGTAAATAACGTCTTCCTCACATCCAGCCTCAATCACAACTTTTAGTCTAAAACCATCACCCCTGCTCCTAATAAACCCCAAATTTCCTTGAATAAACCCCAATCTCTTTGGGATCCCACAGATGTTCAATGCAAATGTGCATGCCACGGCCAGAGGACTGGTAGAACACACTGACACTGGAGATCCCCCAGCTGTAAAAGCTGGAGCCCAACCAAGGGTCACAACACAGACAAAACCAAAGTGCTCTGAACTGGAAATACAAGAATGGCTTTGATGAACCCTTTGCAACCCTTCTCATTGCAAACCCCCTCCTGCTCCCCACGCTGCAGGCGGGTGACCATGGAAGGAGACCCCGTGCTGCCTGTCTCAGTGTGCAACTCACACCAATGGGTGCCACCAGCCCCAAGCTGCTGGAGCAAGCCAGGGCAGAGCAGGGTCACGAATGGCACCGCTCTGAGCTCAGCAACGGCTCCTCTCCCCCAAGGAGGGATTCTCCATTAAAATCCCCACTAAACCTTCCCCTAAGATGGAGTTTCTGCTCTGACCACAGCCTCCTGTCAGCTCCTCACATCTGAAGCCCCTCCACAATCACCACCACTGAGCACAGGCGCCAGCTCTCATCACTCCCACTGGAGCCAATTCCTCCTTTCACAACACAAAGCCCCTCTCCAGGTTTCTTGTAGCCCCTTTAAGGCACAGGGAGCTGCTCTAAGGGCTCCCCACAGCCAGGCTGAACAAGCCCAGCTCTCTCAGAGATGAGGCTCACAGGTAGCACCACCACCCAGTGTCAGAAAGCCAGCAGACACAGGACTCTTCTCCAGCTCGGCCAGCACCAACCTGCAAACATGGGACCAGTTTCCAAGCTGGGAATGAGGAGTCCACCCATGCCCGAGGCAGATGGGTGTTAGCAGGGGGAAGCGATAACGTGGCCATTTCCCAGGAGAAGAACAGAGACCTGTGGCTTACAGCTGGTGGGATGCTCCTTCTCATGGGTCTGGAAAGAGCTTTGCTCCATTCTTCCCTCTTGGCTCTCAGAGCACGTTGGGAAGGGGAATGACCTGAACTCACCACTGGTGCAGGGTGAGTCAGTGGCAGGTTTGGGAACACTGTCACACATTTAAAGCAGGAAGATGGGGAGATGATTTCATCTGACCATCTGCACTATTCAGGCCACGAACACCCCCATGACACAAACCTGGTCTTGAACTGGGACTCCTGGGAAGGGGAAGCCGCAATTCCCCTGCTTGGTTTGTTTCTACCATTAATCATCCTTGATATAATTTGTGTGCTAAGAATAGATTTGTCTCTACCTTCGTGCCACTTCCAGCCCGTGAGAACACACTGCTGCTGTCTGAAGGGAGCTGACTATCCCCACTAACCTGCAAAAGGCAGGTACGGCCCTAAGAAAGAACCATTTACAGCTTTATTTTAGCACTGAACCAATGAAGTAGCACGGAAAGATGTAATTTAAGTGGGTGATGTGTGAGGGCAAAGCTTACGGAAGGCTTCTCCTTGGATTTCAAACACTAATTGTTCTGCACTTAATTTAAAACAGGGGAATGAAAAAGGAAGTGTACCTGGTGCAGCTCCCTGTGCATCACTGCCTCGGAGCCACAGTGCAGGAGGCAGTGAGGATGCTGCAGCCTGTGAACTCACTCTGTTTATAAGGAGGGAAGGAGCTCATCCTTTTTGCCAAGTGACAAAGGAAACCTGCTGAGGTCTAAACCAGCTGTAGGTCGAAAAATCACCTAAAACCGTGTGCTTCTCATAGCATCCCTAGAAATCACTGCATTGTTCATCCTGACTTTGGATGATCTTACTTGCTGTGAGCCAGCTTCTCGCAAATGAAGAACTGCACCATGAGCAGCCACGCAGCATTAATTCACCCATTCCAAGGTCAGGCAATGGAAGGGGCTGCTGGCTTGCCCACTGCCACTGAGCAGCCACCCCAAAGCCATTTTCCAGTGTTAAGCCCCAGGGCAGCAGCTGATCCATCACTCTCCAGTGGCCATTCCAGCGCCATCCACCCAGCACAACAGCCTTGTGTCAAGGCAGGGAGCACATCCTCCTATTCCTCTCCCAGGTGATGGGCTCCATACGGCCAAGGCAACCCCCCGATGCGGTCGGTTAGTGGAATGGTGCGGTCAGCGTCATCTGCCAAGCAGAGCGAAAGTCAGACTGAGCAGAGCCTCCAGCGACCCCAGGCCTTTGGCTTTGGGACCCTTTGCCACATGCTGCTTTGGAGCCACAAGCTTCATCAGCCACCCTCAAGAGCAATGAGGCAGAGGGGGAACAGCCTGGCCAAAGGAGTGGAGACCTGCCTGGAAGAGTGGAAGAGGGAGGCGAGATGAGCCGGAGGGAAAGCAGCTACAGCTCCTCTGATTCGGAGGGCTTGGCAGGCAGAGAAAGCCTGGCTACGACCCGGGTCAGAGCCCTGTTTTCAGCCAGCAGTTGCTCATTCATCTGCCTCAGAGTGTGAATCTGTTTGAGCTGGTGGAGATTCTGCAGAGAGTGAGAGGAGTGGACAGAAAAACAGAGAGAGAGAACACACCAGGGAGACAAAAGGGCACAGAAACGTGAATTTAGTCCACAAGCAGTCAGAGGAAAAAAAAATAAAGAGAATAGAAGAAGAATTAGTAGCAAGTAGGTGGTGGATGGGCTCAGGTGCCGATGGGAAAAGCCTTAGAGCACATCGAGGACATTCTGGGAACCATCTGGGCCACCAAAGCCTTTGAAAGGTCAAATGAAGGGATTTCCCAGCACAAAGCAGGGAACATCCTAGTTTACCCAGTGAGCTCCAGCAGCACATGGCCCCTGGACTTAGGAATGGCTGTGGGAACTCTCATCAATGACTTATCACCTACACAGCTTCTGAACACTGCTGCAGCAGTGCAGGATTCCTTCCCAACCCCTCTTCTTCATGTAGCTCTAAAAGCTAAAGCACTCTTGGGTAGCAAAGGGCTGTCAGACTGAAGTGTCACTGTCCTGACCACATCCCTTGTCCCTGCGGCACCTGAATGATGGCTCTTGGGTCTGCTCAGAGGTCTGGTGTGTGTGTGTGGGGTTTCATCCCTGTCCAGATTCAGCTCTTCTGTGCCATAGGGCTCAATTTAACTGTGATCTCCAGAGGTGAAAAGTCAGAACCTCAAATCACTCGTTTTAAGGTGAGGTGTTTGAAAGACAGCATCTTATGTGTGAAAACACAGCGTTCTCCATTACAAAAGAAACTAGTGGGCAAAGGACAGTGGAGACACCAGCCCCAAAGCTGGGGCTAGCACAAGAACAGCAGCAATGGGGAGACACAGAACATCAAAGCAGGCAAAGGGGGGAAATGGTAAAAGCCATGCAGACACCATGACGGCTCCAAGGACATTCTTCCCAGTGATGCTGAAGAAAGAAAGCAAGCATGTGCTGGACATTCACACCAAACAGAGGTGCCAGGACACTGCAGTCCTGTGCCTCCCTCCTCCCCACAGCTCATCGGGTACCACAGCCATGTGAACCAGGAGCCCTCCTCCATGGAGCACGGGCACTGTGCAGAGAAAGGCAGGAAGGGGAACATCTGTGGCAAGAGAAGGTTTAAGTTCAAGTGCAGAAATGCCAGCCCGGAACCAAAGCAGCTCTGCAAACCAGGGTGCTCCTCCCATGTTCTCTGACACGTGGCTTGCAATGGCAGGGAGGAGACAAAGGGAAGGAGATTCCTTTCTGCCATTTGATTAGCAGAAAGTGCTCCAAGGGAGGTCACTGTCTGTCCTTAACCAGAAGCAGCACAGGCAAATCTGTTGGGATGCAAAGAACTTGCATGAACATCCACCCAACCTGCACGACATGGAGCTGGCTGCAGTTGGCAGAGAACCTGCTGCATCCCAGGATGCTTTGTCCAAGGGCCCATTTGTGTATAAAAGAGAAGCACTTTGTGTAGCCCCCTCCCATCAGGTCCATTCTTAGCTCCCCCAAAGCACTACCTCTGCTCCCCATCAAGGAGCAAAACCAACAGAAACAAGGCAGGTGAGTGCAGGAAGCCAGCAAAGATGGGCTTTGAGCCCCTGGATGACATCAACTTGATGGAGCAGCTCCTGCCACTTGGCTTAGACTAACACAGTTCTGACAGGTCCTGATACAGAGCTATGGCCAGTGAGCTGCAGGAGCTTCAGGGACGCCTCGGCAGTGAGACCCCCTCTCACCAAATCTCATCCATCCATCTGTCCATCCATCCATCCATCCATCACCAAACCCACCCCAGCCATGGTGGCACTTGGTGAGGACCTCACATGTCTGTCCTGGGATAAATCACACCCAGGAGCTGCTGGAGGATGGTTCATACCAGAAGAGTCATACCATGGATCACAAACATCCTCTGTTTTATCCCAGGGAACACAACTGAGCATGTCTGGCAGAACACATCAAGCATATGTGAAACGGGTGCCGTGCTATGGGGATGGAAAGGATTGTTGTTGTTTTAGAGACCACCTTTACTTTTCCACACTGATTCAGCATGGAACCTCAGCGTGGCATGATCGGATGCAGTTTTGGCTCAGCACGCTGCCACAGATGATAAAAAGCATCACTTATGTAAATATGTGTGTGTGCTGCAGGTAGGACAGCCTTCTATTTACTCAAGAAACCCAGCAAAGGCTGGGAAGCTGGGAATGAAGCCAAGGGCGAAGACCAGAATCTGGCCAGTACCGCTGTGATTGCTTATCCCTCTGTTTGATACTTGGCTCACCAAAAGCAGGTCTCTCAGTTCAGCTGTACCTGCCTGCAATTAGAGGATTCTGTGCCTGCAACAGTAGGGGAAATAAAAATGCCCAAAGCATGCACAATGTACAGAGCCAGGAGGTGCAGTGCTGCTATGGAATAACGAAGCTCCTGTGACCTTCAAGAAAAATTGCTGTGTTGAGACCTCAGGCACTTGGCATTCAATTCAGTTCAGTGCAAATGCTAATTTTCTTTCTCCTTCCTCAGCCAAGTTGCTGTACCTCCAGTCACATTCTGCAGTCACTTCGGAAAGGCTGCACTGCTTTGTCACCTTCACAAGAGCTGGTCTGCAGGAGCAGCTCTGGCGCCAAGGGCTTCTTGAGATTCCTCTGTTTGTCCTGCTCCTCTCCATTTCTTGACTGCTTCATTAGCAGGGGTTAAACTCATGAAAGGAACAAAGCTCATTACCTCAAGTGCAGACTGAAATACAAAGTGTTTCTGTCACAGAAACCCAGGACCATCCTGCAACCGCTGCTGTGCCTCCTCTGCCCAAGACGTCAGCTGCAACAAGACGACAGCCCTGATGCACAGGACTGGATACAGGCACCCCAGCATCAAAGAGCTAGATGACAGCCATGCTGGACTGGTTCAATTCAAAGACCAGTGGGAAGAATCCCAAACCCCACAGTACTACCTGAGACCTAATAACTTGGCCTGATTGTTTCCCCTTGCTGGTCTCCATGTTAAAGGTCACTGGTGGATTTGCCAAAGCCAGTTCCTTCTGCTTTGGCTGGACCACTATTCAGCTACTGCAAGAAGCAGGGATGAAAGTCCAGCCAGAATGAACAGATTTGTTTTCCTGGCTCAACTTCCACATGCGAGATGAACACAGATGTTCTGTAGAGGTTATCTCACTGTAGCCAAACACAACTGGGCTGACTCTCCTGCTTTAAGATGCGATGAAAGTGGACTCAAAAGTCCCACCCTCGAGGACTGATTGCTCATGTTCATTTAGACCACAGGCTCCTTTAGCTCACGTCTCCAGCACATCTCTAGGGGCAATGGAAGAACATGCCAGTACCAGTGCTGCTCTTCTGCACCACCAGCTTCTGTCAGTCTGCAGCACTGGACTACCCAAACCAGAGATGCTTCAGCTGCATCCAGCAGTTCCTACAGACACCTTCTTTCCTTAATTGCCTTCTGAACCAAAATAAGTGTTTCAGAACTGACAGGCCACTAGAGGACACCAATTTGTCTTTTTACTCCACAGACCAAGCTGGTTTGCAGTGATCTGCATGGCTGCAGAGACAACACAGACTGCTGCTGTCAGTGTCTTCTCTTGAAGGCCACATTCCTGTAATTATACAAAGGTCTCTCTGGAGTTAAAGGTTGCTCCTGTTCAGTGAGTAAAGAAATGTAGACATTTTCAGTCCTTTCTCCTTCCCCTTCTAACACATAGACACTTGTTTTCTCCTCTGAGAGAGAACACGAGAACCTTTACAGTGAGAGCCACCAAAATGCTCTACTACTTATGGCACCAGAAGATGCAGCACAAGCCAATGGGTCCTTCCAAAGATGGATGCTTGCTAAATACATGAAGCTTCAAACAGAAACATAAAGTTGGAACCTCCTGCATCAGTGCACAACGTCGGGACACACACAGCTCTCAGGTGGGGTCCTTCCTTCTGAAAGCAGTTTGGTCCCACCTGGGTCATGCTCAAAGGGAACGAAAGCATAAGGCAGAGAGCAAACGGGGGCCATTCTGTTGATACCAGCATTAAACCAGAGTGTAAATGATGCAATGCTGCCAAAGCAGCACAAAGTCCTGGGTGTACTTAGGTGGCAATATGCACCCACGCTGCTTCCCACCCTGCAGTGCTCCCCGCCAGCCCCGTGCTCGCAGGGCAGCCAAGCCATGGCAGGAGGAACCATCCCCAGGGGCAATGCCACCAGCGAGAGAACGCGAAGGCGCATCAGTGGCGGATGTCTCGTGACTTCAAGCCATGCTGCACATTTCATCAGGAAGCGAATTCCTCTTGGCTGAAATCAACTCCAGGCTGCCTTACTGACACAGCCTTCCAATGGCATGCTATAGGAAGGGAATACAGAAATACAACCACTCTTGTGTTTTGTCCTGGCTAGTGTGCGTGACCTCAGAAGCCAGCTTTGTCTTCTTACCCATCTGGAGAGAACCACAGCGGCTTAACATGGGCTGCAGACTGTTCAGAGCACAGAGGATCAGCACATGGAAACTCATCGATGCCACAAAAGGTTAGTTTTGGAAAGCATTTAAGGAGAACAGCTCTCACTGTTCTCGGATCAAACAGCACAACAAACATATGGTGCAATCAGAGGAATGGTAATAGGATAGTTTATTAGTATTTCATGTCTGGCCATTAAAGGAAGTTCTGACTGCACATAGGAACACGCTCAGAGGTGATACGAGTCCCTTCCCAGGTACACCTTTAGTATCCCACTCCTGGGTGACAATCCCAGAAGACATTAATACAAAGCATAAACCCCAGAATGAGCAGAGTGAACGGATTATTTCCTACCTTCATCTCCTCTTCCATTTCTGAGAGTTTCCGCTCCAGGGCTCGCTTCTCCTGTTTACAAGGATTCATAACAAAGATGGTCACAAGAATGCAGAGGAAAAACTCACAGTGCATTTTCTTCTAAAGAAGAGCCTTGTATTTCTGTAGGAACCTTCACTGAAAAGCATCTCAAAGCAATGCACAGGTTACAACCAGGAGCTGGGCCCGTTTCGGCAGATCCTGAGCTCCCTTCATACCCCACCAGAGATTCCAGTTTTCAGGACTTCCTGATGCAACCTGGTTTTGAGCTCTGTGGGTGAAGCCATGGATTTAACTGCACCTACTGCAGGAGGCAATGAGAAAACTCACCCAGCCCATTGAGCAAGAAACAGGGAACGGTGCCTGGAAATCCTCCTCCCTGATTAATTTAGGGCTTCAAAGCTCACTGCTCTCAGTGTAGTTTGGAAACGGATGATTACACAGGGTGGCTCTGCCCTGTGAGTGCTGGTGGTACCCTCAGTGAGAGCAGAGCCCTTGAGAGAGGGAGAGCTGGACTCTATCAAGGACGTTCTCAGCATGAGAAGACTCAAACCACCCCAGGGAGGAACACTGAGCAGGAGGAAATGGGAAACCTCCAAGTGCCCCCCAAGCGATGTTTAGCTGATAGCGGGGTTGCATGTTTGATAACCCCCCTTAGCCTGCTTCAAGCACACCCAGGAATCAGGCCCACATGGATCACTGCTCTGGGTATCTCAGGGTTCAGAGTGGTGTGGAGGTGCTCAGCTGAGGTTACACAGCAGGGCCAGGGCCTGAGCATCAATTCAGCTTCAGCAGTCAAAGCCTGGCACCTGCCTCGCACACTTGTACCAAGGGCTGGTGTGTGCTGCCTGCCCCTGTTCAAAATGGGGATCCTGAACATCACCCCCTCCAGACACTATCTGGCAAATCCCAGGAAGTGTTTGCACATAAATGATTAAAGGGCTTTAATCATCCAGCAAAGCTTCTAAAGCTTCAGGAGATGAAACATTTCAAGAGGAACCTCCACTTCAGGCGGCTCTCCAGCATGAAAGTGGATGCTGCTGAGAAACTGGAGCCAGGCTTCAGCTTTAATTAACCACGTGGTGGGAGAACGAGCATTAATGGCCATCAGCTGAAGCACAGGATAAGATACCAAGAGAAAACAAATCACTGTGAGGATAGTTAAGGACTGGAAGAAAGGGCTGCAGCTGCAGAGACTCAACACTTCACAAATGGATGGGACAAAGCCCTGACTAACCTGCCTGACTCTGCTGGGATCTCCCTTCCAATCTGACTGGAGCTATGGTGACTCAAGGCAGAGATTTAGTCAGGCTCTACCCATTCAGCTTAGCTCACTGCAACGAATCTGACTGTTCAGTGGAGAGGAAGGAGCATTCAATGATCCAGCTTTCAAGTGTAATCACGAGACAGAAACCCAGCTCGTGATTTGCTTTCTTCCCCTCACCATCTCAAACCAGTCTTCATTTATAAGGATCAAGAATAACGTAAAGCATACTGGACCAACAGTCTCTTAGCATGATAGAGTACGATTTGTTGGTCTGCAGCTGCCTGTAACAGAAGAAAGAAATCAGAACCAAGCTGATTTCCAACGAAAGCAGAAAAGTCTCAGACCCTCAGAAGGTCAGAACACAGTTACTGCTGTGCACTGCTCCACAAGGCAAAACTAGAACTTAGCTTTTAAGTCACACTTTCCTGCAACAAACTGATCTGCAGAGCAACACGAGGCAAAGGCTGTGATGCAGAATAAAGCAGAGGCACGTACCCTTTTCTCCATCTCCAGCATGCTGGACCGGTCCGAAGTTTTCTCCTGTTTCTGCTAGGGAAATTAAAAACAGGAAGCTATTAAAGCATCGCAGGATACTGCACAAAGGCCTAGGAAGAAGCAGTCTTCAGAGAATCCCTCATACTTATTTCTGTGAAAAATAAGCCTCCTCTGTAGCACCTTCCCTCCCAAGAGCTAAATCCTGTCTCACACTGGAGCAAGTGTTGGCCTGTTATGGGCTGGGGCTCAGTTCCTCCAGCCCATGAGCCCGTTTTGGCCTTACCTGGGTTGCTTTCTCCAACTTGGATTTGATGTCGGCCAACTCAAGCTGGGCTTCTTGTAGTTTTGACTTCAGCTTTTGATTTTCGGACAGGGCGCTCTCATATAACTGAGATATGGGATAGGGAAGAAGAGATTTCAGTTAGTGCAGAGCCAGCAGCGGGGTTTGCTTTGCTCCCCATGCCAGGGGATTCGAAGGACAAACAGAACTGCTGTGGATTCTCCACTTGTGTTTTCACAACCCATGTGAACTAAGGAAACAGCTGTTTCATCTTGCAGGGTGTTTAAAAGCAGCCAAGAGGCAAAGAAAAGGGATGGTTTTCATTTAGGGAAACAGCCAAGCATAATAAAGCCCAGTGCTGTCTACGCTGGATGTATGTGCACCTATGGTTCTGTTGTGGTTCCCAGCACAAAACAGCCTTGCTGCCCTTGTTTGCTCATTGCTTGAAGAGGAGAAAGGAGCAGAGTTTTAGCCCACTCCAAAATGGATTTTTTCCCCTTCAATTCCTTCAAACCAGCAGAATTTCCACCCCTCTGAGAGCACAAACCAGGCATCCTGCCTGCCTCTCCTGACCAGGCATGCTCATGCAGAGGAGGGGGAGCTGCCTATGGGGGAGGCTTTTCAGCATCAGTCATTTCAGAATTCAGGTCAGAGAAACACAGAATGAATCACAGCATCCCAGGCTGGTTTGGGTTGGAAGGGACCTTAAAGCTTATCCCAACCCCTGCCATAGGCAGGGACACCTTCCACTAGAGCAGCTTGCTCCAAGAACCTGTGTCCAACCTGGCCTTGAACACTGCCAGTGATGGGGCAGCCACAGCTTCTCTGGGCAGCCTAGTCATCTTAATCCATTTACTTCTGACGTGCTCCCTGCCCTGAGGCTGTGGGCAGCAGGGCACATCCCTTTCAAGGATTGTGTTGAAAGGTTCAGAGATCATAGAAAAAATAACTCTGGGATGCTACAGCAGCAAATTGTGGGGATGTGCACGTGTAAACCACGCTGCTGTGCTCACCAGTATCTTTCCTTGCTCCTTTCAAATCCCTCCCAGCATTTCCCCAGCCTCAATCCCCTGCTCCTCAGACATCTGACTTCCATGATGTCCTCTCATGCTGTGTCAGTTTTCAACCCCCTGAAGGGCAGATGCATTTGAAGAAGGCCGGTGTGACTTCCAAAAGCAATAGTAACACACAGTGAAAATAAACTGTATCTTTCCAAAGCCTCCCAGCACACGTTTCTGCAGCAACAGGCAGCAGTGACAAGAATACAGGCAAAAAACCCTACTCTTTTGTAGTCCCTGTTACTCTCCTCTTCTGCTCTGCTGCTGAGGGCAGCCAACCGGTTCTCCCTCCGGCTGTAGGCGCTGGAGCGGCTGGAGGCACGGTCGCTGTAGGACTCGCTGCTGGTAGGGTTCGTAGCTGCTTCCAACCTGAAACATGAGGAAGAGGTAGCACCGTGGAGCTGCTTTGCTGTGGGACAGTCAGTGTGAGCCCCATTGGTTGGCACTTTAGGTCATGGCAGACCCAGTAGAGCATCCTTCACCCTGCAGCACAGCCATCACTGCTTCAGGAACTGGGGCAAATCCAGTGGGTATCAGCCCAAACCCCCAAAGGGCAGTGATTTCATGGGATGGTTTGGGTTGGAAGGGAGCTTAAAGCTCCTCCAGCTCCAACCCCTGCCATGGGCAGGGACCCCTTCCACTAGAGCAGCTTGCTCCAAGCCCTTGTGTCCAACCTGGCCTTGAGCACTGCCAGGGATGGGGCAGCCACAGCTTCTGTGGGTGCATCCACAATTACCCACGGACCTCTCATCTTCATGGTGGGAATGGGCTCCATTTCTGATAGGGCACAGAGCGTTTCTTCTCTGCAGAGGAGCTGTTAAACAATTTGGGAAGCAAAGGACAGAAGCAACCTGGCCCAACAGTTGAGCCAAGGTAGAGAGCAAGCGGCCGGTAGCAGCTTCAGCTTATGCTGTTGATCTGAAGCACAGGGAATCCCCCAAACCATCCCAAAATACACTGCTCATGAATACTCAACACAAAATACTAAAGAAAAAAAGGAAATTCTTACCTGGAAAGTCTTTCATGCTGAAGGAGAAAAAAAAAAAGAAAAAGGGAATTAGTGAGGAGAATGAAAGGTTCAGTTCAACAACGCAGCAGCAATTTCCTGCCTCTGACACCATCACCTCCCTCACCACAAACTCACAGCATTAATTCCCATGCTCAAGCTGGGAATCATGGATCCTGCCTGAATCCTTTCAACTGCTTCACTGAAGCATTTCAAGATTTGCTTTTGCAACCCTAAAAACTACGGATCATTGTTCCCCAAATTCTAGCATTCAGAACTGAAACCCATCCCTTTGAACCAAACCCATGCTATTGTTTCCCTCTTTAAATCAAATTATACCTCCTGACTTTGATCACTGCCCTGTGCAGTGAGAGGGGTGAATGGACCACAACACGTGGAGCTTGCTGCCTATTTGTGTAAAACATCAGGAAGTCACAAACAGTACTTTTTCTCCACGTGCAAGTAACTCCCCCAGGAATAAAAGCCTCACCGGGGCAGTCAGACACACAGAAGCTGCACAAGGAAGAAGAAGACCCCTACACCAGTCAAAAGGGTGGACATGCGATAGATTCTTCTTCAAACATCATGAAAACATGGAACAAAATGACAGACTTGTGTTGGAAGGGACCATAAAGCTCCTCCAGCTCCACCCCTGCCACGGGCAGGGACCCCTTCCACTGGAGCAGCTTGCTCCAAGCCCCTGTGTCCAACCTGGCCTTGAACAATGCCAGGGATGGGGCAGCCACAGCTTCTCTGGGCACCCTGTGCCAGCGCCTCAGCACCCTCACAGGGAAGGGCTTCTGCCTTATCTCCAACCTGAACTTGCCCTGTTTCAGTTTGAACCCATCACCCCTTGTCCCATCACTACAGTCCCTGATAAAAAGCCCTTGTCCCAAGCCCCTCTCCAGGTTTCCTGCAGCCCCTTTAGGCACTGGAGCTGCTCTAAGGTCTCCCCTTCAGGAGCCTTCTCTTCTCCAGGCTGCCCCAGCCCAGCTCTCTCAGCCTGGCTCCAGAGCAGAGCTGCTCCAGCCCTTGCAGCAGCTCCATGGCCTCCTCTGGCCTCGCTCCAACAGCTCCAGCAGCTCGCTGCTGCCCCAGAGCTGGATCAGGGCTGCAGGGGGGTCTCCCTAGAGCAGACTGATGCTCCCTGCACAAGCTGCTTCCTTCTGAACCCCCAGTTCTCACTGTGCTGATGTTGGTCCATGCAAGGAAAAGGCACAGCTTGGTAGCAGCCATGGCTCTTTACTCGCCCGGAACACTGGAATGCTGCACAGCGCCAGGAACGGCGCTGGATTTGATTTCAGAAATGTGCTCGGATCGTGGAGGGCAGAATCCTTCCCTTAAAACCCCAGGAACGCTCCCAGCTGTCAGGAACGCAGTGAAGTGCAACTAAAACCAAATTCCCTGTGGAAGGTTGAGATAAAATACACCCAGTGCCAGAAGAAGGCTCGGCCACAGCTCTTGCCAAGGCAGGAATTGGCCCAATTGCTTCCAAGTGTGTTCCTCTGCAGTGAGACCTGACCCAGCAAAGGCTGAAAAAGTCTATTTACAAGAAAAAGAAGAAGGAGATTGCTTCTTTGGGCACATTTTCTCCTCCTTTATCTCCAAGTGGCAAGCGCAGGGAAACCTGCACTATTTTAAGATAGCTGTCAAGGAATGTATTTTGGTGTGTTGTGTCTCAGTGACCCCGACCAACACTTAGGATTAAATAACCACCGCTTCCCAAGATCCCAGAGCTGCTCCAGCCTGGCTCCTCCCTTCTCTTAAGAGGGGAAAGTTTAGGAACCTGCTTTGTTTTATTGCTGCACTGTCAAATACCCTCCTGTGAGTCCTGTTTGGGTTAGGAATTAAAGGTAAAGCAAAGCCAGCTGCTTTCAGGGGCTGGTTTTGCCTTTTCTATGCAAAAGCCACCATGTTCTATAGTGCTGCAGGTCCTGCATCTCGCAGATTCCTGTGTTTGGTAGGGCTGATACAGCCGTACAAAGGGCACCTTCCCTGTGTGTAGCACTGCTGCTGGCAGGAGTGCTGGAAGGGGAAAGAGCAATGAGGAGGGCTGTCTGGTCCGCATTGGGTACAACTCAGATCAGTGTTCCCCTCAAGCCACATTTGTCTTTCAAGTCAGGTATGGTTGGGGTCAAGTCTGGTTTTCCAATGGGTGCAGAGTAATGAGAAGGTTAAACTCTGCCTTTGACAGTTATTCCAAGGCCATTTCCTCCTGGGAATGCTGCTCTGCCGACCTGAGAGCCATGGTTTGCCACAGCATCCTGAAGGCTCCGGCTGCCGTGATGGATAGCGCTGCCCTCCAACTCGAGCTGCTCTTGTACAAATGCAAGGATTACAGAATAGGAGATGATTAATAATCCAGTGCAGCCAAACCACCTCCACCGAACCCCCAGCTCCCCAAAGCCTGAGGCAAAAGACGTTTTCACAAGCTATAAATCAATAAACTTTGCTTAATAACCACTGCTGTTACTGAAGCATAACATTAAAAGGTCCTCCAAGATGGAATAGTGGCTTTGGCAGCCGCCTGCAACAGACCCCATGGCTTTCAGTACAGCTAGCACATGCTTAATCAGAACCAAGCACATAGGGACGCATCTCCTGCCACCCCACATTTGCAGCTGTCCCCTGGTTGTTGTCACTGCTGTCCCTCGGCTCCCCACACCTCCCATGGGGCCCATTGGCTTTGCAGGAGCCGCGGTTTGTCACTGCTGTCACCTGGGGACAAACCTCCCCTGTAAACATGGAGCTGGATGGGATTTTAATTTAGTGAAGGCCACAATTCCCAAACCTGGAGCTGTTGCTCTGATTTATTTTCATTTTCCTTCTTTTCTAAGGGCACAAACTTCACTGGTAAAAAACCTGATTTTGCAAAGCGCCCGGAGCTGAGACAAAACCCTCCAGACACGAGGAAACAAAAGCCCAGTGCCCAAGTGACACAAGAAGGGAAGATTTCTCCTCCTCAATTCCTTCAGTACGGAATGCCACAGGTGTGCAGGCAGCAATGCCTTCCTCTGGCACACTCTTTTCAGGTTTATCATGGGGTATTTAAATACCTGCTTGGCCACCAGATAGAATTCAAACCACCTGAAGCCAACCTGCTGTGTGTGAACCATGTTCCAAAACCCGTCACCCCCTCCTGCAGCCACACAGCACCCCAGCACAGCCACCATGGCCATAGGCAGTGCTTGTATGAGCAGTGATGAGGGCTGGTCTGGGTGTGCTGCCCCGTTCTGTGGCACACTGAGCATCTTGTGCTGTGAGCACTAAGTCAGTTTTCACTGTCTCTCTCCCCACCCCTCATCTGTTTCAGTCTAAACCAGCTGCAGACCAGCTGCCCAGTCACTGATATGAACCTGGAGCTACTCTCACCTGCTTGAGGACCTCTGCTCCAAAGATCTTCTATTGAACTGCAGGAGTAACCTCAGCACTTTTGGGTCATTAATAGAACTTACAAGTCATCATAAGGAAAACCCAACCAACCAAACCCCTCCCCTCCAAAACCACCCCAAGCCTGTCAACAACCTGACAGCTCCCCAAGGGCCATGATTTCCTTTGACCACCAAGAACCACCATCTCCACTGGTGGAATCCTGCAAGCACAAGATCCATGGGTCAGGAATAGTGCAGGTACAGCTGCTGGTGCCCTGGGGAATGGATGCACTGAGCCCTCTGTCTCTCCCAGACCCTTTTTCTATAGGTTTGTGTTCATTTTATGAAACAAAAGACTATAAGGGGTTCCTGCAATGGAAGGCAACATTGGTCTCTGGCACTCTGAAGCACTTTGCTGCCTGCAGTTTCCATCTGCTCTCCCCATTGCTTCCTGTGGCCGCTCATTCGCATCCCACAGCACCTCCCTGTCTCAGCTGTGCCAGCGTGCTTGGGGTTGTGGCTGGACCATGAGCTGACCCAAATTAAAGACATCCTCTTTCTCCCCTCTTACAGTCCAGGCTGATTCCCTGGTATGGTGCGACCTCAAGCTGTCCTCTGACCTTCTGCTCTCCCTGCCCTGCCAGGGGCAATGGTTTCAAAAGCTGAGCGATCACCAGTGATGCTCTAGAGACATCCCAGGCCAGGCTGGATGCGGTTCTGGGCAACTTGATCTAGTTGAAGACATCCCTGCTCATTGCAGGGGGTTGGACTAGATGGCCTTTGAAGGCCCTTTACAACCCAAACCATTCCATGATGCTATGTGATTGTTCTCTGGTTGGTTAACCAGCTTCTCCAAGGGCACCCATGCCAAGCAGTAGAGGGCCAAAGTGGGAGTTTTAAAGAGGCTGCAGTGTTATGTTGTGTGCTTCTTTCTGCATCATCCACAAGCATTCCGAACCTTCAGTAGTTAACAGGCTCCCTGCCCTGGCTTTGGCTGGGATCAGTTCGCTCTGTTCCTGGGAAGGGAGGAGAGCTGAAGAAGAAAGTTTAGCCGCAGGGACACAGCCACTTACCCCCAGGGGCACAGCGTGGCTCCTGACCCCTTTTATTTACACATCCAGATGCAGCCAGACCCAGGAGCATCGTCCGGTTACTGAGTCACAGCAGGGAACAGCTCACGGGTGGTGCCCAGAGACTACGCTTCCAGATATGGACATTCACAGAGGAGAACTCAAATCCAGGGAGCAAAGAGCACCCAGAAGGATTTCACACTGATTCCCATCTCAGGAACACGATGCTTGAGAAATGGTCAGTGCTAAACAGTTCAGGGTGCTGGAGAGGTTAATTGCCTTAAAATGCAAGTTTCATATCCCCTATTTTTTGCTGCCTTACGGGAGAGGAGGTGATCATTTCCACAAACCCTGTAGTCAGCAATCCAGAAATCAGATAGAGAATGTCACGAGACAACTTATTTGACCCCGTTTTGATCTATGCAGCAGCATCTTTATCACAACTAGAACAAGTCCAAGCCATAAAATGGAATCCCAGGAAGATAAAGTGTCCTGGAGAAATGTTCTTGCACTGGTCATTATCCTCCAGTGCATTTGCAGTGGCAGCACAGCAAACCAAAGAACTCCTACAGGTCTGCC